CACAGAATGGACTCGTTCATGTATTAGATGTCAACGGTGTAAAGTATCCCGTCACACTCACAGCCCCATTCAACAATTTAACCTTCCAGCAAGACGCTTTGATCATGTACACTTAGACTTGGTTGGCCCATTGCCTCCTTCAAATGGTTACACTTACCTCCTCACTTGTATTGATCGGTACACAAGATGGCCTGAAGCCATTCCTATTGAAAATATATCCGCTGAAACTGTAGCTCGAGCATTCATCTCCCAGTGGCTTTCAAGATTTGGCATGCCTACCACCATCACTACTGACCAAGGCCGACAATTTCAATGTCACTTGTTCGCATCCCTCACCTCTCTTCTTGGCATTCGCCATATTCGCACAACACCATACCATCCATCTGGAAATGGGATGGTGGAACGCTTTCACCGATCTCTCAAACAAGGTCTGAAGTGCCACAGTAGCACACACTGGACAGAAGCCTTACCCCTAGTCTTGCTTGGTCTTCGCACAGCATTCAAAGAAGACATTGGTAGCACTTGTGCTGAAATGTTATATGGTGCAACCCTCCGTCCTGCCAGGTGAATTCTTTCACCCAGAATCTACTCCAGTTATCGACCCTCCAACATTCCTTCAACGTTTACGTGAGACCATGAGCAATATCTCGCCAACCCCAGCATCTTCGCATAACCAGCCAAGCTATTTTGTACATCCTGCGCTTGAGACATCTTCGCACGTATTCGTGCGCAACGATGCAATCTAGCCAACTTTAACACCTTCATACGATGGTCCATTCAAAGTTGTCAAACGAACACCGAAACATTTAACCATCATCTGCAATGGCAAACAATCAGTGATTGGAATCGATCGTCTCAAACCAGCATTTCTAATGCAAGATCCAACAACTTCCTCATCAACATCACTCCCGGAAGAAAGCTTACATCCCGTTAAAGAGCAACCTAAAACTACCAGATCTGGAAGAAAGGTTAAATTTAACCCAAAGTACTTATAACGTACCGATGGTACTTGGGGGGGAGTACTGTGGCGTTCCGACAGATACTTCAACTTCTATTCATGAGATGGCGCCACGTGTAAAATCCAGTTCTTAATCGGAGCAGCAAAGCGACATCTTTACTCACTCAGACTTCTCGTCGAACAAGTGTACGCGACGCTAGCACGAACTGTGTTCCGAGCTCTGTGTTGATGTCTGCAATGTAATTTAAATTGTAATTTAGTATTTAATATATTCTTTTGTTATAGGAGATTGTCTACTCTTATTTTCCTTAATTATATCATGCATTAAGCACACACGACCACCAAAACCCTGAGCACAGTGTCAAATATTTCATATGAGTAACGTGGTTCATACAGTGGTGAGCGTGAGACATGCACTTATCTAGCCATTATAGCAAAGTACTGTTATCGCCATACTCCATCACTTATCACTTGTGTTAAACTTGTTAAAGTATAAAAAGCAATTTCAGTCGAACTTATTTTGTAGCACGGGAAGCATACAAAAATGGATGCAGAACTTCCCGATGCCTAGTGTTAAAAATATTTTAAAAACAATTTTTACTTGTTTTGAAACACATTTATTTCGAAGTAAATAATAACAGCAGTAACCACATTTTTTAAAGCACTATGTAATACGATAACCCTATCGCTTCAATTTGCTATATCGCATTTACAGTGTAAGAATAATGGAAAAATATGATCATTAGGTTATTATTAGCAACACTGTTAATAAATTTGTTAAATGTTAATGTTAAATGTTTGTTTGTTAATTCTGTTAAACAATTTTCAGGCACCATACTTACGTGAAACTTTCAAATGAGTTTATTCAGAACATCGTACAGTTAATACTTGTTATAATTATTTAAAGGTATTGCGTTTTGGAAAAATGTTTCTTTTCAAAATTTTATAACAATATGGTTAAGAGACAAATTTATTAGTAATTATTGCTTTAAAAATCAATTTAACATCGCTTAATTTTTTTTTCTTAATAGAGATGTGAATTTTATTGTTTTCAAAAATCAAATTAATTGCGAATTATTGCTTTAAAAATCAATTCAAAAGTTCTTAATAATTTTCTTAATTTTTGCGATAAATTCTTTTTTTTATAATAGCTAACAACAAGGAAAAAAATGTTTATTCACTTCTTTGAGGAATGAGTTTTGATTAGAGTTGGATATTGACTGAGAAATGCTGGCATATGTGAAAATTATGAGAAATTATTCTAATATAGGACTGCTTATATATGTTGGTTGGTTGGGGTCGTGTCCTTTGACAAGTCAAATGGATCCATACGTGGAAATCACAGCTTTTTTCCAGTTCCACAGTCTTTTCACTATACAGCTCTCCCTGGAAAGGAAATTCCCCCAAGTTTTGCAGAGCTGCAAGTATTGCCAGGCAGGTGAAAATGTGGTCTCGAGAGAAAGCTCCGTTTCGGGCAGTTTCTACAAGTTATCTACTATCTTCATTAATTTCCGTTCCTCTAAAATGGGAGGTTCTCTGTCTAGTAATGATTTTTGTCATTTCTCTGTTTGCATCAATCTCACATATCTGATGGTCTTTCTTAACAGATTTCTCTTTGAGTCCATATCTGGCAATGGCATCTTCAAGAATCATGGAGAGGGAGTTGTCGAGATTTCATGCTCTTTAGCCACTTCATCGGCTGCCTCGTTTCCATCGATTCCAACATGTGTAGGTATCCATTGCCCGGTGCATATCTTTTCCATTTGGGTGATTGTTTCAGCTGTGAAAGCCAGTCAGTGCATGTGGGGAAATTCAGGAATGACAAACGACACCCCCCATCAAAACAATATTTCTACCTTTTCCTGGATATAAAAACAGCAAACGTAATGTAAACTCAAATTAAAAGAAAAGGTCCTCGAAGCCAGGGTAATCAAAATCCTGCAACTGCATATGGCCAAGATATATCTTTGTAATCCTGGGTGAGTCTTGAATGTCCTTGCAGTATTGCCTCTAGGATAGCTTTAGAGTCACAGTAAATTACAAGTCCTCTGGCATTATCATTTAAGTCGATGTAAATCCTCAGGTCCTCCTGGATTGCTCTTAATTCACATGTGAAACTGGAAGTAATGTTGCCTGGTCCATGGCTTTGGAGTATAGTTGTCCCATTTGGTAGAGTGATTTGAATACCAGCTCCACCCTGTTGGATAGTCTCATCTGATGAACCATCTGTGTTAATTTTTACCAGATCAGCTCCCCAAAATGACTCAATTGTTCGAGTACGTTTTGTCTTGATAATAGCTTCAGTTTCCTTTTTTTGTACAATGTTCCACCATATCTAGATTTATTTGTGTTAATGGGGATGTAAGAGGGCAGGATGGGTCCTTAAAGGACAGTGTAGGTGTCAGGCTTGAGAGCAATATTTTCTCTGATCTCATTGTCATATTTCAGAGTAGATAACATGTTAAGTAATGACCTGTTGTTCCAGTTTCCGAAAGTCCTTCTGGAGATGTGCCGCATGACTCGGCTACTGGCCTTGTTTGTAAATATGAGTGCGAGATATTTCATTCTCTATAAAAGAGTCGGAAGTTCGCACTGCTATTCTGCCTTAATGTTGCTGGTTGATGAAACAGCTCCAGATATTATTTTGGCTGCTTATGCCTGTATTTTGTTAAGTTTGTCCAATGAGTCTTATGTATGTGAGCTGCAGTTTAAGTTAGACATGGATGTGCTAATTTTACATCCAAATTTAGAATGCATTGTTACATCTGTAAGTTTTTATATGGAAATAAGAAGTGAGCTGCATTTTCATATTATCAATTCTATATATATATATATAGATAGATAGATAGATATAGATAATTTTTTCTCGTTGTTGGTATCTCACTGGAAGTTTTGGTGCAGAGGCAGAATTATTTTTAAGGTTCTTACTGAAATCACGAAGCTGATAACAAAAAAGCGTCTTGTTTTGCTAGGATATGAAAATCTCAACAATTTTTATTTTTACCTCGTTATCATAGAATGTTGTTTTACTGCATTTTAGATTGATAAATTTATTTATCTGATGCATATGCACAATAAGAAATTTTCACAAGGGAAAATGTGTCCTAACTTCCCTTTATATTATGTAGATAAATGAATTGCTGTTGGATTTTTTTCCCATTGATACTTTCTGTTCTAAATGCGTTGTAAAATGTACCCGAGCGGAGCGTGAGTGTATTTTCAGGCGTAATGCTTCTATTTGGAAACATCATAACTGTAAGTCACTATATCAACAGTTCATATTTATCTATACAGTGTGGCTGAACAAGAACACCCTTGAAAGCGAATGCATTTCTTGCGGAAGATAGCACCTTTTAGCAAGACAGTATTTTAGTTACATTATAAGAAATGTTAAGAAACGGTTCCACATTATAAAGAATTCCTTTTATTTCCAAAAGCCCTAAATTTACCAAATAATAATAAAATTAGGTACATATATTTTTATTGGGGAAGCATTACGAGCAGCGGCATCAAGTAATTTATAAAAACTGAAGGAGCTTTTACCTCAGCATAGTCCCAGATATCAGGGATGGAAATATCTGATCAAGGCAAAACTCACAAGGCCTACTTAAATAAAGAGGAAGACCTTCATGTTAGTCTTTTTCAAGTAAAATTTGCATTGCACACGTGGAAACAGAAAAAGAATAGAATCTAGCCTATTGGCAGCTTCAATCACCTGGCCACTAATCAGCTACCAGACATCAGGAAGACGTCTACAACCTCTCGTTAGAAAGATCTGCTTTAAGCTGGCCCTTGATTTTGAGATCTTTTGAATTGCTTACCATAATTCGAAAACCCAACGGGTTTTATAATCTATTATTTTTTGACTTAATGTGTTTCAAGTAATTCCGATATAGATTCAGTTACTTTCTGGTCTTTTTTATGTAACTGAAGAGATTATTTCCCTTAATTATACCATAATATTAATAATTAATAATTAATATAATTATATTACTAATTTTAATATTATATGCGGATTATTGTAGCAAAAATGATTTTTTACCATCCTGTTCTTGACAATTTTAGATTCTGGGTGATTTGCTTCTATTAGAGTTTCTGCTTGATTTGATAGTTCATTTACCAGGCCTTTGTAGGAATCGATTTCAAGTTCCAGATCCTGAAAAATTATTATAAAACAGAAGATTTGAATAAATATTTTCCACATCTATTCGCTTAAATTCCATATCAATTCAGTGTTTTATTCTTGTTTCATATGGCAAATATTTATTATGAATACTGCAATCTTTTAAAGAAAAACATTAAGATAGTTATAAAGTTTAAAGAATTATTCTCAATAGTTCACATTCAGAAATTTAAAAAAAAGTAACTTTTAAGGGGAGAAATTTTAATAAATATGATAATATGATCATAAACTGATATTTATGGAATACAAAATGAATCAATGAAAAAACGAGTCTTGCCTTATGTTTTGTGAGAAGCTTTATCACAGCATCTTCATCTTTACCATATTCGGTATTGCTCAATAAATGGATTTTTTCTAATATCCATGAATCAATCTCCGTGGCTTCGGCATAAAACTGAAAGATAAAAAAATATATATTGTTACTATCAGAACTCAATGCTCACTGCAAAATTATGCTAAAAAATAATTAAACTGAAAGTGTCTGCATCAATTCATCAATCTCCTCAAAGTTTATTCACTGAAAGTTCACAGTTTTACGTATATCGATAATAGGAATCTTCTTTTGGTTTTTTACCTGATTGTAATTAATTTAAGAAAGATACCACGTTGTTCTTTGCCTGACATATGTTAATAACATTTGATCTGTGTTAGTAATGCATTAAAATCATTTGGAAAGTAATATTGTGATAACCTCTTTATATATATATATATATATATATATATATATTTGTGAAGTTTCTGACTTGAAAAACAATTATAAATAAAAAGTTAATTTTTAAAATAATTTTTAAGAAGGGAAGATACAGAAACTATCTTTGACTCTTGCAATGAATAATAAATTTAAGTGAGGATGTTATTGTGGAATAATTGTATAAAGCATAAAATAATGTATTATGCCATTCAAAATATTAATGGCGACTGATTTTACTTTGGCTACCCTTTTGATAGAGTATTGCCCTGACACTTTATGGCAATAAAATGCATCATATTCTAGATGGCAATAAGTTTGGCTGATTTTTTTTTACAGTGGATATCACGAACGAGGTAGAAAAAAAAAGGGGGGGGGCAAGAGACAATCAATAAAAATGCTGAATTCCTTTGTGTTTCCTGGTGATGGAAGTGAAGGGTATGTTTCGCTAAACAATAGTAATATAATTTGATCGCAATAAAAAAACTTTTAGAGACACTTCTAGATATGATTTATTGTAACATTGTAATCTTCCGGTTTCGCTTTATGGAGTATTAAGAGTGACTATTGTAGCTGCATTCAAGAGACATTTGAAAGTTCACTATTGTTAGAGCCCAGTTAAGTGTTATTTTTAATATTAGCTCATCTAGTACTGATGGTAATCATACCTGTAATTATTGTATTATCCAAATGCTGAGAGAAAATTCTGCTTTTATGCTGCATATTTATACCACGGAAATGTGCAAACCTACTTCACTTGCATTCTGACAAAAAGATAGAATGTTTCTATGATAAAAGAATTAATTTTTAAGAATTAATGTACAATCAAGAGTGAAACAGAGAGGAAAAATATAATTTTTTTAAATATTAAACTTAATATCGCATTAGTGTTTTGAGATAAAATTTTTATGTATCGTGACTGTCTTTTAAAATGGCAAGCCTAAAAAGAGCATATACTACCTAAAATCTCTCTTTATCGGAAATTTGATTGCAGTATCTATGGTTAAAACTTACAGTCTTAGAGAGCACTTTATATTTTATTTTAGGGAGACCGTACCACCTTTATATTACGTTTGGAGGTGTTTCTCTTTCGAAACTCATGAAATTTTATGAAATAAGAATTTAATCAAAGTAATTACTCTCATATTGAATTACAAGAACAGGATATTAGATATTTAAATTAAGCTCAACTATATTCAAAGTTACAATATGATGAATTCAAAAATTCATTACAATTACAATAAAGCATTACATAAGTACCATCTGCACTCTTAAGATAGAAGCCGCCCTTTCTTTTTTAACTTCAAATGTTTCTATTAAGTGATTCCATTGTTTTTCCATTTTGTAAGATAATTCAGAAACATCGACTGGACATATTTCCTTAGGTGCAGCGTCAGGCACATTCTCTAAAAGACTGCGAATGACAGGTTTATGCCCTTCAATCGCCACTTCCAAGTTCTAGAAGAAAATTTCATTAATTATCAGCATAATCAGTAAAAATATTTCTTTTATGTTTGAATGTTTTGGCGTAGGTAAAAAAGTTAATCATACTTCTAATTTTTTCTGGTGCTTTTGTGCATCAGATAGACTATTGCAAGTCACATCCGTAGATAGTGGTACCATTTTTTCCGAAATCCACAACAATTCACGATCTACGTCAGATTTGAACTGGTGGACTTTTAAAATCATTTCCAGTTTTTCTCTCCTTTCTTGAAGGGGTAGCTCTGCCGCATCCGCCCTTGAAGAAAAAGGTTATTTGAGAATACATTTGAAAACTTTGTTTCAATCCTGTAAATTAATATTAGCAAAAGAACTTACTTTTGTTGTATATCTGTAATCAAACTCCGCACAGCTCCTCCTTCAAAGTTTTCATCCTCTATCAGCTTGTTCCCCTCTTGAATGAGGTTTGAAATTTTTGATTTTAGTTTCTCATTTTCAATTTCTAAATCCTAAATTAAAAAAGACAATTTTAATTTTATTCTTGTGTAGGAAGAATCTAAAAAAGCATCTTTATATTTCACATAAATTACTCAAAATTTCTAATACAGAGATATTAAAAAATACAAGTTAAAAAATTTTAATTCCTGCTAAAAATTACGATATAGCTCAAATAATTAAAATCTACTTACTTTAAACTAATAAAAAACGCAGAAAACCCCAGAAATTCAAAAAAAAGGTTTATCCATTATTTTATTTATGAGATAGGTTTTAATTTTATTACTATAATTTTATTTTATTACTATTATAGTAAACACAGAAAACTTTAATACTGAAGTTTTCTGTTTTTTTCTGACTACTGAGATAATTTTATCACTTCCCCATATGAAGGAAAAGAAATGCATGCTTTATGTTTGATCTTTGCTTGAAAAGAAATGCATGCTTTGCTTTAATTCCAATCCATCTTTGCCTTCAGCCTTTAAGAAAATTATGTTTTAGTTCTCGTTTCACCAATAGATAGAGCCAGTAGCTTAACTCTTGTCCAGCCATTCTTATCTTACCCCATCACTATATCTTATCTCGATCATTTGAGCTTTGGCAGCTGAGGATGATGGTTCGATAAAAGCATCGAAACTAGTCCTGTAAAAATTTGAAAATATAACGCTGATTTTTGTTGTTTGACTTCTAAGTTAATACTTGTTCGTCGTGTTATTTTATCTTAATTTAACTTGCTGTTAAACTTTCTTGTGTCCAGCATATATTACAGATGGGCATGCATTTTAGAAATTACTGAGTGGTTTCCCGAACATTTCTCACGACATTTTTCCAGTACTTTTCCGAGTGTTTTACATTTAGCCATTAAGAAGCTCAAAAATATTTACAGATAGTTTATTTTATTTATTTAAGGTTAAAGTGGAAATTTTGTATATATCGGAAATTAGGTAAAGTTTGTTCTTAAAACTCACGATAAGTTGACGTTAAATTTTATAGATTTAAGCGAATAATATATGTGACAAAGATATAATTTGAACATTTTGAATTTAAATATAATCGCTGGCATATTTCTATCCTGAGTAAAGTAAAAAAAAGCTAGCATCCTTCTAGATTTTCGTTGCATTAATTTTTATTTTACTTTTACGTTGATCCTTGGTGTTAAATACTTCAACACGTGAAATGCATTTTTTATGATTAATTTTGTATCTAAATAATTTTAATGCAACAGCAACGAGCTTTTATATAAGTACGTGCAGCTAGTGAGAAGAAGAATGTTTTGACTGAATAAAGTTGCAAAGTATAATTTTATATATCTAGACAAAAATGCACACTTATTTGTAAATCTATGCCATTTAGTCCATACTATGAAACAGAACTAATTTGATAGGTATAGATGCAGAAATGAAGGTAATAAGTGTCTATATTAAATAAGTTTGCTTTATTAGTTAGAACATTCTAATTAACATTTAATGAATTACTTCTAGTTCCTTAAGTTGCCGGCTAACACTTCGTAGATCCTTTCCAAAGTTAGACGAAACCGCTGACCTTTTAATTTCCTCCAGTTTCTTTAATACAATTTCCACAGATTGACAGAAGTCTTTCAGACTCTTTGTTTGGTTCAAAATCTTTCGATTTTCTTCTAGCTTATCTATTAATGAATTCCATGCTTCGCTAACCTCCTCCAACATAGATGCTGTTTCTTCACTGTTGCATCTGGAATTTTCGATGATGTATTGTCCTCTCTAATAAAATTGATGAAAATTCATTTCAGAAAGTACAATATTTTATACTAGAAAGAGAAAATACTACATTAAAAAGAACTCAACTGCTCACCTCCCAAATATCTTGCAACCTGTCTTTGTTGGCTGCCATTTCAGCTTCAAAGGTCTGTTGGCGTTTCATTCTGTATGGCAAGTTTGCTGTTAAGTCTTTTTTCACCAAATCATTTGCAAGCTTCTGTTTTTCAGAAATCCATACTGACATCTGGAAATAAGCTTATATTAACACAAATGTTCATTTTAATTTTATTTAATTACATTTTTAAAAAACAAACTTTCGTAACTATATTTTAACATTCGCTTTTGCCAAAGGAAGAATGATTTTCTTTTATATCTCGATTATGTGTAATTAGACTAAGAATAACACTCAACAGATGAAGCAGAGAAATTTTTGTAATTTAGGGAATTTGTACACTCCTTAAATTGCACCAATATGATATATGAAGTTTCAACAGAGATACATTAGGGTGAAATATCTATAAATTCCAAAAATCAGTTACATAACTAAAAATATCAAATACAGTTTTAAATAGTACACCTTTTCAATTTTTAATCAGTTTACCTCATGAGTGCTGTAATGCATTCATTTTAACCAGCTTAAATATGTTAAATGACTAAGTAATAAATCGAATTTAATAAACTAAAGGAACAAAATAAACTCTAATATTTTTCTATTTTAATTAACTAATTTAAATTCCGTCTAACTGATCAAAAAACTTATATTCAGTCTAGTAGTGAAACTAACATATATTCGGTTTAGCAGTGAAAAATGACATTAATTCGGATTATGGGAAATGTCTGGGTTTGTAATAATTTTTTATAAATTACAAATTGGATTCGAATGATTTATTACCACTTGAGCATCTGCTTTGAGCACTTGGAACTGAAATGCATCAAGAAGAAGAGATTTACGCTTCTCAGCTTTATCTTTTATAGCCTGACGATATTGGTTCAGTTGCTCGCATCTCATCTGCATACTAGAAAGTGAAATCAAATAATCACAAAAAAGGAAATAAAATATTTATTTTATGTCTGATATTGTTCAAAAAAGCAACCAGATATTTTTAAATGAAGAAATGTTTCGTAAATTTACGTTCAATGAGTATATTTAAAACTAATTTATTTATTAAACTCTGAATGGTTTATCACATTGTTTCGCTGATTTAAACTTGCTGATAAAGATACAATAACACGCCGATCAAGTATTAATTTAGAAGTCTAACAACAAATATCAGCGTTATATTTTAAAATTTTCACAGGACTAGTTTTGATGGTTTTACCGAAACATCATCCTCAGCTACAAAAGCGCAAATGAACGAGATAAGATATATCTTTTCTAATCACTATATCACCGATTTTTGTTGCTTGACTTCTAAATTAAGCTTGCTATTTTACGGCCGTTCAAATTGCCGGTGGTAGGGCTAAGAGGCAACTCGCGTTAATTATCTCTACGCATAGCTTCGGCTGATAATTTGACTTAGTTTTAATTTTATAATTTTATTCTGAGTTGCAGCCGAAAGTGTTGGCTAAGTTTGTAAGCATGAGGAGTGCTGTCTGTAAATTCCTTCTTGAGTTGAGTAAAGGGTCTTTTCACCATTCTCACGTCTTTTCATTGATACAGTTTGAACTTAGCGAACAGTCGCTTCACAGTTCAAGTAAAGATCTAGCCAACAAAATAAGGTTAATTTAGCTAGCATCTTAAATAAAAAACAACATAACTAAAAAGATCAGATAAAGTTTTAAAAAGTATATCTTCTTCAATTTTAATCAGTTTATCTTATGAGTGTATTAATGTATTGAAAAGCAGAAAGGTAGGCCCTAACATTAGCTTACTCGATTAACTTTTCCAAAGGAGAGTTTACAAGTTAGAGGAAGAACAAGATTACACGAAGAGCAGGCAGTATTAAACAAGTTTGTAAGGAAAGGAAGGGAAGAAGAAAATATATTAACCTTTTCAATTTTTTACTATTTTTCAGCAAAATGGCAAAATGTAACAAGATCATACATTGAAATCCCACAGCTTAAGACTTCGTATATGCTTTAAACAGTTATATATAATTATACTATTTAAAGAAGCACAAAATATGTATTTTCTATAAAATAAAAAATGATTTTTTTATTGTTTTGAATTAGGCAACAAATTTTACATATTTTTCTTATTTCTTGAGAAGCATCGTAATTTTTTTAAGTGATTAAGCTTAAATATTGGGTAAAGTGATTAGTTGTTTCCTTCCCAGAACTCTGTTTTACGGTTAGGATGAAATTTACCCTTTTTAAATTAGAAATCACGTAACTGTTAGTGGATACGTTGATGTATAGACACAAAAAATACAGTACTTTTATAAACGAGTATGCATATCGGTAAAGTCTATTACAAATGAGCCTTACAAACTTGCAATACAAATATGAATCTTAAAATATTATGGCCAATATTTTTTAGTTTTAGTAGTGCATTTTTTTTAAAGCTTTTAAACCTTTTCGTTTGTACTGTAAACCACGTCTCACGAAATAGCACCTAAGTGCACCTTTCATCATATTTCATCATATTTCCACTGCATTTTCTTTAATAACGATGTTTAAATCCACAATAATCTAACAGAAACATCCAGAACATTAGCTGTTATATCCAGAACATTAGCTGTTAGTAATAGTGTCTGGATGTTTTCTATTGAGTAATTACTCAATTAACTTTTCCAACGGAGAGATTACCAGTTAGTAAAAGCAAAGATTATACGAAGAGGAGGGAATATTCAACAAGTTTGCATGGTAAGGGAGGGAAATAACTATATTAATCTTTTCAATGTTTTAATGCTTTTCAGCAAAATGTGACAAGATTATACATTGAAATCCCACAGCTTAAACACTTCCGAAGAAAGTACAAACGTTGTTTTCGACACTATTCGATTTCCACATCAGTACCTTTTTGGGGAATTCAGTTAGGCAACTGTCGTCAGTCTCTCCTGCTAGTATTATGCTTTGCCTTCTTGCTGTTCTGAGCATAGAAGCAGAACAAAATTTTACGAAATTAGTTTGAATTAGAACCATCAATAATGATAGCGTTGATGAAATCCCAAGTGATCTTTCACCATATTTCAAAACATAATATTTCAAAGTTCGTAGTGTAAAATAAAGGTTGTCCTTTTGGCACTGCATATCATTCAAATTTCTGTTCCAAAATTTCCAATGACAAGTGGTAACCGAGCTGAAATGGTGGTTGACAGTAATTTGTCACGACCTGGATTTGGAGACTAAATCCTATTTCCCAGGCTCTCTAAGTGAGCATATTATGAGATATTTTCTTCCTCATTACCTGATCAAAATGTAAAAGGGAAAATGACTTTTTGTTTAATGCAGGTTTTTGGAAAAAGAAATTTCATACCAAAAAACCATAATCTTTTACAGCATTTTGTTTTCAAAAAAAGAAAAAGTTAAAAAAAATTGTATTTTTTCAAGGCATGATAGAGCTAAAACTTTCGTAAAGGGGATTATCTTAAAATTGATAAACAGAACTGGTCAAGAATTTTTTCGTACAGCATATATTTTGCACTGGCTATCGGGATTTTTATCTTCCAGTTAATTATTTTCTAAATCTCTAATTCCCTTCAAGTATTATCATAATTAGATGACTTGGATGCATGGTACCTTTTGCTTGTCTTTAGGAAGAGCCTCTCAGAAAATTGTCTCCTGCAAGGATGTGCAGAATGTTTCATTAGATATCAAGAGAGCTTTCGACGTTAGGCACATTTTAAGAAAATTAAAATAAGCTTTTCTGAAAAGAATATAATAACCCTCTTGGCCAACTGCCTTAGCTTCCAATCCATAATATTCCATTTTTCTTGTTAAGCATAGTAGAAATATCAGCACAAAGCAATATATTATTTTATCTGTACTCACAAATTATTCGTACAATCTATATAGTGTAATGTTTATAACCAAGGAAAGCCTAGAATTAAGAACCTATTGAATTGACATTAACTTCTCTTCTTCTATTTAACTCAAATGCCAAAAGTATCAATAATTGTCACTGAAATGATTGCATAGTACTATTCAAAAATACAGTTCACATAACCCTAGTAAAATAAAATCAGTACAAAGATGAGTAAAAGATAAAATATAAGTAAAAACGAACCGCAATTTATATCACATATCATATGAACATACATTAACATATTTGGGCTAAACTGAAAGAACTGCTGTAACTACAATACATGAGCATTAGTGATTGATTACGCTATTTAACCTTAAAACTCCAACTTTTGCAGACCATACAGGGGCACGGAATCATCCCGTTTAAATGCAGCTAAGTTTTTATGTGAAAAGATAAAATATGTAAAATGATAACCAGTACCATAAATTAGAGGGCACATTTCTGTATACGAATGTTGCTAACAAAGAAGAAATGTTAACAGACAAAACAGCAAATGTTAACAAAGAATATAATTTGAGGTTAGAAAATAATGCTGAAATTTGTTTTGAAAAAATAGTCTTCTCCAAAATATTGGGGAAACTTTTACATTAGGACAAATACAAGCAAACCCCAGTATATAGGAGTTCTCAGACTCGTCTATAAATAGGCAGAGTAGCAAGAAATATGCTTTTCTTGACATCTGGCAAAAAACCTGGAAATATGCAGGTTAGGACCGCATGTAGTGGAACCTGGAACGTAAATTTGCTTTCCTTTTAAGTTCAGGTATATAGAAAGATACCCTAATGAATTGCAGTAAATACAAATAGTTCAGAATTACAGCAAAACTTGTAACAGCTATTATCTTTTTGTAGAGAGCGGTCAAGAGGGAATAATATCGATTGCAAGTTACATATAATGTAATTTAAGAAAGTCTTCATGCAAGTGGTTGCTTTTAGCAAAGATACAAACTGGAGTGAATCAGTGAATCTATCAACATGCAGCTTTTTTTTACATCTTTTCAAGCCGCAGGCAGGAGATGATCATTAAACATGCTTTTGAAAACTCACTGAAGGATGGCTGTTGATTTCTTTTTTAATGAGGCCAAGTTTTTAAATAACAGTAACAGCTGGCCAATAAACTGCATGACTGAATTTATTCGATACATGAGCTAGAATTCATAAACAGTCACCTGAAATTTTAATATTTGAGTCACAATTTCCTGGATATTTATGGCATGCTTCTTGCCTATTAGCTGACCCAACAGATCTTTAGAAAAGGCAGAATTGTCATTTTGGCGATCGAGATACAAATCATCTTTACTCTTAGCACGATATTTTGTTGCTCAATATCCTGCCTGCCGCTGCCGAATCAGAATTGCAGCCACATATATGCAGATGCTCTCCTCATTCGTCTAGAAATTTTAGACAGAGTAAAGCTATTGAAATGTTACGCATGCAACAACGGCTCTAGTATTAAACATTACATTTTGTAGTCCAGATTGTACTGCGTGAATTACACAAGATAAGAAAGATTAATAAAAAAAGAGTCATCATTGTTGAAGTGTTGCTTCTTAGAAAGGATATATTCCAGTACCATATTGATTTAGTATACAGTACAGAGTTCGTAACCTGGACGTCCATTATCCGGAATGATCTATAATCCGGACGTCCATTATCCGGAATGATCTATAATCCGGACTTCAAAGCCACAAACTTACGCATGCGCGTAAAGCGTTTACCCATGAGCGCTTCCGATAGTGAAGAAAGTGACAGAGAGGTTATTGAAAACGAAAAAATTTCGCTTGACAAGTATTCTCGACACAGCAATTACAGGACTTGAACAATAGAACTTTGTAACTGAACAAGAAATTACGTCTGTTTATAGAATTAAAGAGAAAGTATTAGCACAAAAAAACGAAGCAACTTAAACAACTTAGATTGAAAGAAATGTTTAATAAAGTAAACAAATAAATATTAAGCTTTTTTTTTTTTTTTTTTTTTTTTTTTTTGTAAATTTTGATACTCTTTAGATCATAATTGCTCTTTATTTCATAAATTACGGTTTCATATATTTAATTGCATAATTTCTGCATGCCATCTTACCAGATTTAAATTGATGATCCATAATCCGGAAAAACCCCTAATCCGGAATCGCAGAAGTCCCGACGAGTTCGGATTACGGACTTTGTACTGTACCACTAATATTCGTACTTCTAAAATAGCACGGATAAAAACCTAACCAATAACTCAAACAAGATTTAAATAAAGTGATACTGAAAACAATTATTCAAAGCATAGCATCAGGTATATAACATATTATACAAATTAATTTTATAATCTTTATTTATAGCTTAACATACTAATCCTTCTCAGAGTGCCCAGATTCAATAAGTTTTTCAGTTAACAGATTGAAAGCGTTAAATCTGTTTTCTTGAGATTTAAGTTTATCACTGAAAGCTTCATGATGCCTCATCCAACTTTCGACATCACCCAGAGTATCCTGTAATTTCAAATACAAATTAAACAGTATAGTAAATGCACAAAAACTACACATTAAACATACATGATTGCAATTAAAAAGGTAATATTGTTCCAGTATATATAGGCATTGGCTGAAAAAAAAATTGAAATTCAAGTTCGCTTACCAGTTATTTAAAATGTAACTGCAAAATATTAACAAGTGTAATTTTCCTTTTAAACTGTTAAATAAAATTATTTTTCAAAATAAATTGCTTTCCAATCACACTTTAATTAAATTTATAAGTATTGGCTATATTATTCTGTCTTCCAATGAAAGAAACATTACATTTAAAAATTCGAATTGCTATATACTAGAAATGCTTTTGCTTATATTTGTCTAATATTGTAAATAAGGATCTGTTCTCTTATATTTGTACCATTGATACTTCTTTTGAGACAACTTAGATGTATGCGATATGCGAAGGAGGACGTGGGCACCATGCCTCTACCATTGAGGTTAATTGGCCCACCTATATCTAGAGTTTGCCAAAGCGTGGTGTCACAAAAACGCCTCGCACTGAGCGCCCAACCCAGCGCCGGATTCATCCGGAGGGCAGTCCCACGGACCAAAGCGCCCTCCTAATTCACTCTCACCCAACTGCCCGGGTCCAGTAGTTACTGAAACAACAAATAATGGTTTTACAAGGTCAAATAAGAGCATTGAGATACATTGTGTGATTCATATTACAACTGCATTGACATTATTTGCTTAAAGTATTACTACATTTGACAATACATGCTTAACATTTAAAACACTATTAGGTTTAGAACACTGTTATTGCAATACACACATACATTTTACAACTGCTTACATACATTACGTTACACATTACTATCATTAACTTCTAATACGCTCTTGCTTTCACATCTGCTTGTTTGCTTTACATTTATAACACTTTTACGTTTAGAACTTTATTACTGCAATACACATTTACTTTTACGTCTGCTTATGTACATTATGTTTAATACGCTGCTTCTGTTAATCGCATTAATTATTACGTTTCAATCTAATTACATGAGCACACACTTACATTACGCATATATACATTACATTACAACTTTTAAAAACACTATCATTAATTTTTAGAAACACTCTTGCTTTTACATTTACTTGTTTGCTTTACAATTAGAACACTTTTACGTTTAAGACACTATTATTGCAATACACACAAATTACGTCTTATGTACATTACGTCTAATACACTGCTTCAGTTAATCATTACATTAATTATTTCGTTTCAATCTGTTTGCATAAGTACATACTTACATTTCTAACTACTTATATGCATTACATTACACATTACAACATTTAAAAACAATATCCTTAATTTAAAAAAAGCAGCACTTGCTTGACATTTATGACACTTTTACGTTCAGAACACTATTATTGTACTGCACACTAGCCATCATGAACCGGAACTTAGCTTAGGTTACTAGGAAATACTTTAGGTTGTAGGAAAACAAGAATCAGGTGTGTTGTAATGTTGGCTATATGCAGGGTGGTCCAAAAGTTCTTGACACATTTAAAAATTAATTTTTAAATGATAAAAGAAATAGGAACAAATAATTTACAGACATCGTTGAAGTAATCAATTTGTTTCCTTTTGGGATCGTGCTCCTTCCTTTCTCTTATTTTTAGTTCAATACAGATTAATGGTTGACCGTATCAGATTAATGGTTGACCGTATTTCAATACAGATTAATGGTTCAATACAGATTAATGGTTGACCGTATCAGATTAATGGAGTTCAATACAGATTAATGGTTGACCGTATTTCTCTCTCTATATGTGAGAAATAACAAAATACAATAGCTGCGCTATGAAACGATTGGCGACCTCAAAATTAGTTATTCTAGATTGTGTGTTCTCCTCCTCCAGTTATCCAACGATTACAAAACTACATACACTGTTCTCCCAAATTTTTCGAGAGCTTTCCATGTTACATAACACTGCTTGAAAAATGGAACTCAACCCAAAATTAACCAATCACGGATTAGCTGTACTTATGCAACTAATCTAAGTATAAATAGCTGCTAACTGCGTAGTCTCTCTCTCTCTCTCTCGCTTCATCGCCTGCCTGCTGACAGCGTGTCGCTCAGCCTCTGCTAGCTATTCGCCATTATTTGAAATTTAATTGGATATCTAAATTTATGGGGCGCGTTTAGCACCCTTTATCTTCTACCATTTATAAAGATACGTGTTAAGAAATTCATCATCCAAAAATAAATGATGTTTAATTATCAAGCTGGTCGTGCTTCTTCTAAATTCCATCGGATCATCCCACTACGTCGCAATTTCAAAGCAGCAGTATTTTCGGCCATGACTAGAACGTGACTTGTTTTTATCGCCCACCAAAAGTACGTATATACATATATATATGTTACGGTGAAACACCGAAATCTGGAGAATGTCGACTTTCACCGGTGAATGTCAACATTCACATAGTCGCTTGGTGTATGTCCGAAATATTTTCCAAATACTGTTATTTCTGACTTACAACGGTAAATGTCGACATTCACCATGTACTAATGCTGAATGTTGAACATATAAAGAATATTATATTTTCTTCTCCGTCATTCGGTCGCGATAAAACGCACTTGAGACTTAAATTAAGAATATAAGAACTTAAAACACACAGTACATTCAAAATGAGAAAGGAAAATAATATAAGTTAAAAACTTACTTAATTATACAGTACTAAATGAGAAAATAAAATAATAGTAATAAAAAACTTACTAAATTATGTGATTCAAATCTTATTTACTGCAACAACTTAAACTATTGTGACACTTTATGACTTCTCTTTTCCACCTTCATCAGAGCATATCTGTGATTGTCGACATACACCGGTGAGGGTCCGAATGTACAAGAATGTAATGCAATATTCGATCTTTCATCGACGTATTTGGTGAATGTTGACATTCTCCGGTATAAGTCGACATTCTCCAATCTCGATCTTTCACGGTAGCACATATTTACATAGATAATTATTTCCAATATTACTTATTTTCTCTCTATATATATGTATAATATTTACAATGTTACTTATTTTTTAAATACGTAACTCGAAAACAAACATAATAAAATACAATCTAAACATTTGACACATGAAATAATTGGAGCTATGAATTAATTAAAATAAAATAATCTGTAAAAAACATTTTTAATCTGAACAATAAAATTAAAGTAGGCATTAAGCATTAAGCCCTAAAAAGGTACAAAAATCCTGATAAATCCAATAATAAAACAATAGTATAAGATTGATTCAGATAAGCTCTTTCTCAAAACGATAGGCTTAGAATAACCTTGGAACCTGTTTTTTGATATTTCATCTGACCAAAAAACAACAAGTGTTTAAATAGATATATATTTAAATATAAAAATGCTTAAATGGATAAATCATGACATTAATTAATAATTAATTGTGACTTATCTATTTAAGTTAATGAGTTCCAATTTTTGCAGTTCTGCCTGATAAAATGTCAGAAAAATGGCTCCAAGGATTATTAAGTCTATACCCTTCAAAGAGTTTAGCTGAAGCCATCTTATATTATACTTTTATTATTGAATTTATTATGTTTTTTGCACATTTTCAGGATTTAATTTATTAACGACAACTTTAATTTCATTCTTCAGCATAAAGATAGTTTTTTAGAGATTAATTAATTAAATCATAAATCGAATATTTTTACATATCAGATATTTAGATTTATAGTATGATTATTATTATGTTTTAGATTTTTATTATGTTTGTTTCTTAATTAAGTATTTTGAAAGGTTAGTAATGTTAGAAATATTTCATATTTAAATTAATTTATAAGGTATTTTCTCCCTTTTTCCAGGATGCCTTCATAGTGTAACGGTTGAACACTCGGCGCGCATTGGAGAGGTTCAGGTTCGAGTTCCGGTTAGGGCATTGCTAATTTTTCATGTACTCCTGCTCAAAATAACCTAATTACTCTAGAGTGGCGCCCGAACTAAAGGGTGGTGGATGATAATTTGTCACCACTAGGATTTGGCGAATGGGTTACCTAATCCCCAACATCGCCCTTTAAAGGTATTTTCTCCCTCCTTCCAGCATTCCTTCGTGGTGTACTTGTCGCACACTCAGTAAGCATTCGAAAGATCCAGGTTCGAGTCCCGGCGAAGGTATTGCTAATATTTAATGTACTTCTGCTTCAAAATAACCGAATGACTCTACAAATTGTTGCTGCGTCTGTGCAAATTAAACGATTATTCTAGAAATTTCGCATTTTTTTATTTCCTTATATGCATATTTACTGTATTTACCGAAATTTCAGACGCAAGCGAAATTCACTTGAATGCAAGAAAATGTTTGTCATCCCTTAAATTTTCATTTACATCCAAATGAAAGGAAGAAGGAGCTGTGCTCATTCTGATGAAATTCTGAAGAAAGATAATCTGAACGAGGTATTTCCCACTCGCGTAGTATCCAATATCATGTCTATCCTGTTCTTCAGAAACTGCACTTCCTTACAGTATATTTAGACAGAAAGAATAGTGATTAAATATGGCATAAGCAGCAAAAAGGCTCACAAACGGAAGTTTAGAAAATATATCATAAAATAAGTTTTAATTCCTGGTGCTATATCTGTAAATTTTATGTTTCAATGTTTCACTTTGAATTTTGTTCAGTTAAAAATTTTAAATGGAACGATGAACACCAGGGCTATCTTATGCATACAACCACCTGCATGATGTGTTCCTATACTTCCTTTAAATTAAGATTTAAAATAGCTTTGAACTAAATAAAGGGTTGAAGAGCGACTAACAAGGATTATTGATATTCGTATTTCTGGATGAGATTCATCGCTTAAATTTGAAATGAGATGTTCCTCATCCATTTTTTGTTAAATTTTCGTAAAATTAGGATAAAATAGTTTTAGCTTCAACTATAAAATTTTTAAGAAATGTGCATCTAAAATTTGTCATTCTTCTAAAGTCATCCACGCAGATTCCATTTTGTTTTCATTTAGGAAAGAATAAGAGCTTTTACTCACGTTCAATTGCTAAATTACCGTGAAATAAGCTTTGTTTAAAAATTTAAACATTGATACATGAAACATTTTTCTCGCTTGGGATTTAGACATTCCAAGAGGAAAGAACATTTTTCATTTCTCTCTCCTCCCTTTTTTAATGAAGAGGTTATGAGATACTAGAAGCATACAAGAAGAAAAGCTTAAATTTTAAACATACACCTAATTCCGCAGAGTCCAGTAATTTGTCGTGACCCGCACATAAACGTTGCAAATGATCAGCTTCTCTGTTAAATATTTGAAGATCCATATTTTCTCGGATCCATGCGTCCTTCTCTTGCCACAAGTTATTTACTGTGTCTTTGGCTTCGACAAGTTGATCGAGAAGTGGTCTTACTTCATCATACTTCTTTAGCATCTTCAAACCCAGCTGCTCGGTCTCCTCAAAACTAAAATAAAGTGAGCTCATTCAGAAAGCATAGTTTGCATGAATATAAAATGTAGTTAACTACAAATCATTTGAAGAAGAACATTTTAAAGATTAATATTTAAATTTGACTGACACTGAGTAGAAGTGAAATTACAACTTTAAGAAGAGTTAGTTCGATTTTCTACAAATCTATGAATAACAGGGAACTACTCTTTATATGCGCTCTCAAGTCAATATTTTCGCCAAACATTTTTGGCGAGAAACTCCACGGTGCCATATTACTATCTAAATTTTTTGTCTACGTTTCGAACCTTAAGCCTAAAATGTCTCCAAAAACGCGGTTTTCGCGCATGCAAAAACCACGTTTTAAACACAATATTTAAGCTCGAAATCCGAAACAAAAACAAAAAATTTAGATAGCAAAAACGTAAAGTTTCTAACCAAAAATATTTGACAAGAATCCATGTACACAGCGATATGTTTTAACTTAAAAAAACATCTACAAATTGCACAATCTAGGCAGCGAAAGAATCCACAAACTACGCGCCCTCGCTTAAAAAAAAAAAAAAAATTTAAAGTAAATAACATCAACAATAAATTTCAAAGAATACCATGTACGCAGCATTCTGTTTAAAATTTAAAAAACATCTTACGAATTGCACAATCTAGGCATTGGGCACAAATCAATAAAATAAACTAAAATAAATTAAAAACAATTCAAATAACAACAGAAATTCATAGTAAAAAATACAATGAGCATAACATTCTACAAAACAAAAACAATAAAATAAAATGAACTTACTATAATACATACGCGAATAAAATTTCGCCAGTCACACGACGTCTGTGAACAAAAGTGCTACGATTTTGTAATATCACATGTCTTTCTACGATTCAAGATTTCGAAAGTAACGATAAAAACTTCCTCCAAAGTTAACTTACTACACGACAACCACGATCCAAATCTTAAACTCCGCACACAGCCACATACTTTACCAGCAACCATTTGACTGCAAACCCACACAAGTCTATCAGAAATACAATTCTTCGTCCGAGTTTTCATATCAGCTCCGCATTTCGGACACGCCAAACTCCGTTTTAAAAGTCCTGACTCCCACAGAAATTCCAAAAATGCACTTCTATCCGCATAAACACACCCGTGAACAAAAGACCTGTTAACAACTCCAACATCGTACCTTTTAATACTAAATTTACTCTGCACACAATTTAAAATACGCGACTGAAATCTTGCCACCACGTCTCTCATTGCAACATTCAAAACACGCACGACACGAAACAACGAGCAATTAAACCACTGCAACAAAAGAGTTAAGTTTCAACATCAAAAGGGTTGCCATACAAACAGCATCGTCCACCAAACCATCTCACAGCACGGAATAGCGCCAAAAACCAGTGCAGAACACATATCGCCACATTTGGTGATCTTAGAGCGCATATAAGAGTAGCCGATAACAATTCTTAGGTAATGAATAGGAAGTGATAAAATTTTCAAACGGAAGAACAAATTTTTACTTAAAAAATTATATACATCACCATAATAACACGAAGAGGCTCCAATTACGTTTATCCATGAATTTCGCTACACATCGCTTTGTTGAAGCTGCAAATGTCATATAATGTCTTCAGGCACTAATCGCCGTATTTGCACAATACGTGAATACGTTGTTGCTTGAAATGGTTGTCCCTGAACCGATAGACTACGTCATGATATCCCAGGCATTTTTAAAATATGATAATTACGGTAATATGATGATATTTCGAAGATATGCTTGAGAAATTTTTGCCCCGTAATGAAGGTGCGCTGACCTGATGAAATCGGCTTTATTTACACTAGCTATGAAGGGAATGTTAAAGGTTCTTAAGTCCAGAAAACGCAGGATTTATTGCTGAAAATGATGACAATCTACGTTTAATAAACTGTTCGACTACATATTCGACGGCAAAATATACCATTCGACAACAATAAGCACCACGTAAGCGAATATAAAAACTAGTGTAGACACACCTAAATCTAAACACAGGTGGCGATGAGCTGGAGTTTAGGGAAGGGAACAATGCACGTGCTAATCTTACTTCGGCAAAACGATTGGAAATAGTTTGCCGGGTGGATGGGTTGGTTGCCGAAACAAAGAACATTTAAAAACAAAAGCTTCGCCGAAGCAGGAGTGCCTCCTTCGGACCCTTTACACCTGGATTTATGCATTTTTCAGACATATTTCAAGATACAGGTACATATTTAGTTCTTACAGACATCACAAAAATATTCTACAGGTCAGAGGGTTTTGGAACGAAAGCTTCGCCAAAACAGGAGTGGCTCCTTCAGACCGCAGAGGGCAAAATATACTCGAAATTTACAGACGCAATCCATCCACCCTTAATAAATTTTTGCGCATAGTTGTCGAGCGTCATGTTTGTCAAGGGTTCAAACTTCTGTGATACCATTTCTTTTTCCTGCCGTATCGACGTAAATCAAATCAGTGATCCTCGCAATTAGATTAATAAATTTATTATTTATTTTGAGTAAGACAAATCTAAGAAAATCCGAGTTAAAATTATCGCTAAGAGTTTTTGTCAAAGAATGAGCCCTATAAAATTCTTTGATTTTGTACCGTATTCCTCAGTTTCCTGTACATCTAGCGATTTGGTGACGAGAATTTCTTTTTGCGCGATATAACTACGCAGTAGTCAGACTGGTTTATATTACGCCCATGGAAGTTTTCTTTGGAAGTATACATATTCTTTGGCTGAGATTTCTTTCTGTTGGTTTTTTTCCCCTCGAATTGCGTATATTGCCTCCGAAAACGACCACTAAGCATTTTGCGTGAGGCAACTGACACTGGGGCCGCCGCCCGTGCTTTATTTACGAATAATTTGGGCCGGCGCCCGTGCTGGTGCCGGTGCAACCGGGGCTATCGCGTCTGGCAGTAAAATTTAGGGTTGTCAACATTTTTAGACTTCGGAGAAGTAACAAACAGCAAAATTTTGAAATAATTTTTTTTTTTAAGGGAATAACTGTCCAGCAAAATTTTTAGAATTTAGGGAGATGCAGGCCAATAGAATTTAGCATCTGAAGAGATTGTACAGGTGGAAAAATGTTTAGCGCCGGCCCTAGCTACGCAAAAACGATCGTTTTATATGTGATTGTAAAAAAATAAACTGTTAGTACACAAAGTGTCTAACAAGTCTCACAACAGGCGTATCCTCAGCTACGAAAAATGTGAGATATCTAAGTAACTTTGATCATTCCCTGCTTCACAGTCATCTTCATTTAAGCAAATTTTCCGTTTCCAACTAACTCAACTAACTGCTCTGCATCCTGCAAATTCACTTTTATTCAGTGCACAATCAATATATTCACTTTCAGTAATGAGAAGAAAACTGCATTAAAGACACGAATTTCTAAGTTTAACGCCAGTTTTCTATTATTCTGGTGGAAAAAAAAATAGTTTTCACTCAAGTTATTCTAATATTTTCATATCCTCTTAGTACATTTCTAGTCTTTGTGTAATTTTCAAAATCTGTTGAATTCCAAATGTTTACCTGTCATTCTGGACAGCAATTTGGTCTGCTAAATCTTTGTGATCCTTAGTCACGCTTTCAGCTACTCTGATGTCACTTATCTTTTCCCATACGTTGAGTTTCCTAGACATCAAGTTTGCCCATTCTATCTGTTAGAAAAATTATTTCAAATAAATAAGTCATGGATGGATAACCATGCCAAACCTGTTACTTATTAGAACGATTATAATATTAATTAAATATCACATAGCATACTGACATAAATATTCTTTACTTATTGAAATAAAATCTTTAATAGATGAAAAAGAAATATTGCTGTAATGAAAAAGAATTTCAGATTTTTCCAGCCAGAGGTTAAACTGTAAGGATCTTAAGTTTTACTAACGTTTATTTTATTTTAAATCTTTACTATCACTTCTTATTTTCTACTTCCGGCCAGAATTATAAGCGTGAAGGAGTTTATGCAAAGTTGTCTGGCGAACGCCAAGTATTTAAGTGTGGCCTTTTTGCCAAGCAGAAGAGAGGAAGCCGTGAGTTCGAAGCAGGCCGCTTACCTTAGAAGTTACGCAGTTGCTACTTTGCCTTCCAGGCCAGAGGTTTTAATCCTCTTGATAAATTAAACGTATTGTAGTGTTCACAGTCTCTGTGCTACATACGCTTCCTGTTATTATAAGGCCAATCTTATTCTAAAGTTAAATTAGAGTTTAGTTTTATTTTGATATCTTTTAAGTTAGACCCCGAGTGGAGGGTCATTGTATTCCGAAGTACGGAAGTCATTGTATATAAAGAAAAAATAAAGGGTTTTGTATACCCTTCGTCTGTATCCTGTCTACTTACTACAATTAGTGAACATAGCTTTAGTAAGCTCTCTGTTCTAGTCAGGTCATTGTATGTTTCCGAAGAAGGTTAGAAGAAACATTGAACCTGATAGTGGCGCCCGACGAAGAATAACCATGGCCGAGTTTCAAGAAGAACCTGTGCTGCCTGCAGAAACAGCTCAGAATCCAGAAATGCCAGCTGCCGCCCTGGAAGGATTTGGGTATATTGTCCAGACCATGCGCGCTTCGATGAAACCAGAAGCAACGTTTAATGGAAACTCACAGGTAACCAGTTTTTTGGAAAAATTGGATGACCACTTCATGCTCTACCCCTACCCCCCCCGTGCACGAGTTTCAAAAAGTTACCTTAGCTACCAGCGCTTTGAGGGGCCAAGCGCTTAACTGGTTCAAATGTATCGGCAGAAGTCTCTTGGGTCAAGCAGGAAGTCCCACCTATACCTACGAAAATTTCAAGACTGCCCTACTAAAAGCCTTCCCTGTTGTAAGGGATCGTGCGAAATTAGAAACAGAACTTTTCAGTATATATCAACAAAGAATGGAAAACCTCTCGAGCTTTATTTTAAGAAAAATTCACGTTTTCAAGCTCTTGTATGGAAACCGTCCGGATCCTGAAATAATTCAAGTGATTTTGCCGAGGTTACTACCCCAAGTGCAAGACTTTATTGAATTGAGAAATCCGACTACACTGGAAAAATTATTTGAGCTAGCAATCCAGTTTGAAAGTAGAAGAACGGCGGACGTCGAAAGAAGACGCCAATATCAACAGCGAAACCAATTTGGTACGCCAAGACTACAGCAAACTCAAGCACATGGCTACGGAGAAAAAAAGCGAATCAGTGGGCAAGGAAACCCGAGCATTCAAAAACAGCCGGCGAACGTCGACAGTTCAATAGCAACCCAGGAAAAAAGTCTCAAGGCCAGTGGAGAAAGAAGGAAAGCACCGAAAGGAAAAATAATTTAAACTAAAACGGATTTCTGCTGACGAGAGGGTGCGGAAATCCGAAGGCCACGAAAACCCCTCTTCCTACAAGTTAAATACAGTAATGGTGAAAAATTTAACTCTTCCGAAGATTGAAGTCTTGGTAAATAATATCCCGGCCACCGCACTCCTGGATACCGGCGCGCAGTGTTCCTGTGTGGCAGAAGTCTTTTTTAGAAAGTATTTTCGCAAATACCGCATATATAATGCGGATAATACAACAGTATTAGCGGCGCAAGGAGAACAATGTAAGTGCGTAGGTAAAGTACCTTTGTACATCCGTATCAAGGACGAACAAGTAAAGGTGATGTTTTTTATAGTAAAGAATTTGCAAGCACACTTAATACTAGGAATAGACTTTCTTTCAGACGCACAAGCTACACTGGATTTTAATGAAGCGTCTCTTAAGCTGACGATGAAACCAGTGCGTGTAGAAAAGGTTGAACCGCCAAGGTTAAATCTTGACCACCTGCCTAATGACGAGCAAGATAGAATCCGACAAGTGGTAAGTGAATTTGCTTCCTTATTTAGTGATATTCCAGGATTTACCCAGGTTACTAACCATAGTATTGACACCGGAGATGCATTGCCGGTTCGTCAAAAACCATACCGGTATGATAAGAATAAGGAAAAAATTATAGAATGGCATATTACCGATATGCTACGTAAAAAGATCGTAACGCCTATCTCAAGTAGTTATGCTAGTCCGGTGGTTTTATGTAAGAAAAATAATGATTATCCTTTGGAGCATCCAAAAAGGTGGAGATTCGCTATTGATTACCGTAAATTAAATTCCATAACGAAATATCCGGTATATCCGTTACCGATTATAGAAGAAATTTTAAGGAACATAAAATCAACCAAATTTATGACAACTTTAGACTTAACGAATGGTTATTTTCAAATAGGGATCAGGCCTGAGGACGTGCCTAAGACTGCTTTTATAACCAAGTCTGGCACTTATGCATTTTTGCGAATGCCGTTTGGCCTTTCAGGCGCCCCCAGCAACATTTCAGCGATGCATGGACATTGTGTTAAGACCTGTTCTCGGAAAGTCCACATTTATCTATTTAGACGATATCATTATTACTAGTGATAATCTAGACCAACATGTACAGGATTTAAGACAGGTGTTTTCTTTATTAAATGAGGCCGGTCTAAAAGTTAATGTCGAAAAATGCAAATTTGCAGCCCCTGAATTAAAATATTTAGGTTACAAAATATCGCAAAAAGGGATCGAGACAGATGAATCAAAAATAATCGCTGTACAAAAGTATCCGACTCCAAACACGGCAAAGAAGCTCTCTTCTTTTCTAGGACTTTGTTCATATTATAGGTCCTTTATAAAAGATTTTGCGGCTATCGCTGAGCCATTGTTAAAATTAAAAAGGAAAAAGGCAAGATTCTCGTGGACGGCCGAAGCCAATAGTGCTTTCGAAAAATTAAAACAAGCATTAACGCAAGCCCCTGTGTTGAAATTTCCTGAAAAGGATGAAAATTTAGAAATTTCAGCGGATGCTTCGGATTATGCGGTAGGAGCGGTACTTTCGCAAAATCAGCAGCCAGTGGCATTTTTTAGCCGAACTTTAAATCAAACACAAAGAAACTATTCCGCGACCGAGAGAGAGGCACTTGCAGTTCTGTTAGCAGTGCAAAAGTTCCGAGTCTATTTTGGAAAGGCGCCGATAACAGTATATTCTGATCATGCGGCGGTAACTAGATTGTACTCTGGAAAAAAATTTATCCCCAAGGTTAATAAGATGGGCACTCAAGCTGCAAGAATATAATCTGGTAATCAAGCATACCCCCGGAAAGGAAAATATCGTAGCAGATGCCCTGTCACGAATTAAATTAGACGAACAGGGTAATACCGTAAAAGTTGCAATGCTGACAGCGTGTACAATAAATTCCCGAGAAACTGTAATAACCGAACTGGGTAAGGATCCTGAGTTTGGAAGTATTTATGAGTATTTGAAGGATCCTGAAAATTTTAGCCACCAAGATATTGTGGCGATAAGAAATAGGGCGGCCCATTACGAACTAATAGATGGTCTATTATTTTATACAAAAACTACGAATTCCAACAACGAATTTCGACCTGTTATCCCAGCTAGTCTTAGATTAAATATCCTGCAAGAGCTCCATGACAGCCCTTTAGCTTCTCATGCTGGTATTCGAAAAACTACTCAACGCGTACGCGAGGCAGTCTACTTTCCTGAACTGCAAAAGTTAACAAGGGCGTATGTCCAGTCCTGCCCAACATGTCAAGCCGTTAATTATATTAATTTCCGCCCGGCCGGGTTTCTAAATAGTATTAAATCCGAATTTCCAAATGAAATAATCGGCATCGATTTATTGGGCCCTTTCCCAAAAAGTCAGTTAAATAAAAGTCGCTATCTCCTTGTTATGGTTGATCATTTTAGTAAATGGACCGAAATTGTTCCCTTAAAACGAGCCTCCGCGAAATTAGTTACCGATTCTATTTTAAATAAATATATTTTAAAATACGGGGCGCCCCTAAAAGTTATATCGGATAATGGTCCTCAATTTGTAAGTAATATATTTGAAGACATGTGCCAAAAACTGGGCATACGTCATTTAAAAATGGTCCCGTATCGGCCGCAATCAAATATAGCGGAACGGGTCAACAGAAATATAGTGAAAATTATCCGTAGTTATGTTAAAAATTTTCATAAAAGCTGGGATAACTATGTCAATGAATTTGCTTTCGCCCTTAGGACCGCAAAACATGATACAACGGGCAAAACTCCTGCTGAGTTATTTCTAGGCAGAAAGATTATAACACCGTTAGATAAACTATTTTATGTGCAACAAAGAGCCCCAGAATTTAAAATGGGTGATATAGAAAAACTAATAAAAGAAGCAAAAAAGAATACGGAAGTAGCACAAAGAAAACAAAAATTGTATTATGACTTGAAACGACGGGGAGTAACTTATAAAGTAGGGGATGAAGTACTAAAAATTAAGCATTCACTTTCTTCAGCACCAGAAGATAAAACTGCCAAATTTTTTCCACGCTTTGAAGGACCATATGTTATAGAAAAAATAACTCACGCTGTTGTAGTGTTAAAGGCAAGAAATGGTGAAACCTGTTCCGCAAACATTGACCAATAAAACCATTCTATGACCGTAATAAAATGCAAATCTTTTCAGATCTTTTGCAGGATCCGGTACGGCAGACACCGCAGGTACAAGTTCCAGAGGTGGGAAAACGACAAGTACAAGGGCAAGCCAATGAGAGACAGAAGCAAGTGAAAAGAAAATTGCCCCGCGGAAAAATTGAAGGTACAAAGAAAAAAGAAGCCGTTCC